AGTTCTGCTCCCCAGGACTCCTCAGCTGTAAGAATGGCTTGGCCAAAGCCAGCACTCAGGGAATGTTGGAGCTCAACTAGTGGATGAGAGGGCTGACTGGGCCACCTGATCACCAGATATTAACAGCAAGCAGGATCTGGACCAGAAACAAAGCCAGCTGTTGCTGAGTTCTGCTTTGGACCTGCCACTCTGATTTTCCACTGTTTTATGTACATTGCCTCGAGGGTCCTAGAGACCTCCTATAAGGAAAAATTTTCTTCCTTCCTGGAAAAATTTTCTTCCCTCCCTCCTTCCTTCCTTCCTTCTTTCTTCCCTCCCTCCCTCCCTCCTTCCCTCTTTTCCTTCTTCCTTCCTTCCCTCCTTTCTTTCCTCCCTTCCTTCCTCCCTACCTCCTCTCCCTCCTTTCCTCTTTCCTTTTTCCCTTTGCTTTCCACCCTCCTCCTTTCCATCCATCCTTTCTCATTGTGTCATTAAGCTGTAAGCCCAAGACCAGCAGTTTACATCCACAATTTGTTTAACCTCTGTGACAGTTGTATTATTGTGCAGTTTTTATAAGTAAGGAAACTGAGATTCATTGGGGTTGAGACTTTCCCAGTCACACAGCTTGCACCATTCTGCCTCCCCTGGAAGAGGTCTCCCACAGGAACCTTGGTGTCCTCAGACATCCGTCCAGCTCCCCTGGCTGGCTGGGGTAGCTGCTGAAGTGTTGCAGGCCATCCTGCCTCCTCTGCAGCCATGGAGGTCTGGGCAGGAGCCACACACAGGCCACCAGACACTTCGGTTTGAACTCTGCAGGGGATATTGTTGTCATTGTTGTTTCTTGTTGGATTGTTTTGTATGTGTGGTGCTGAGGGTAGAATTCAGGGCCTGTGCAAGCACAGCCCACAGCCTGTTCTGTTTTTATTTTTGTTCTCCCCCCTCCCCAAGTTATGGGGCTTGAACTTGGGGCTGGGAGCTGTCACTGAGCTCTTTTTTGCTCAAGGCTAGTGCTGTACCACTTTGAGCCACAGCTCCACTTCAGGTTTTCTGGAGTCTCATAGACTTTCCTGTCTGGGCTGGCTTTGAACCTCAATCCTCAGATCTCAGCCTCTTGAGTAACTAGAACTACAGGTGTGAGCCACAGCGCCCAGCTTCAGCCTCAGTTCTTAATCTGCATTGTTTATCAACAGCCATCTGCCTCATAGAAAAATTACCCGTGATGATTAGAAGGTTCTGTCTGTCTGTGGCAACAGAGGGCTTTCTATGGGAGGTGAGGTTCTGAGGGGTTGTAGGCTGCGGAATCTGGCTGTGTGATCTGATACCCCGTAGAGTCACTGGCTAGCTGGTTAGACAAAACCAGCATTCCATCTCAGCCTCCTGTCCCACTTGGCATGGCTTTAGGCAAGGAGGGCAGAAGTCAGGTGAGATTACCTAGTCAGCAAGTACTCCCTGTTACAGCTGGCTCGTTGGGGTTGACTCTGGGCTTGCAATGAAATCAGGGCTTACGAAATTTCCACCTGCTTGACAAACCCACTGGTGTTTATTCATTCCCTTCATGGCCCATATTCACATCCGGCCTGTTAGGGAAGACAGTGCCTTCGGTCCCACTGGAATCTTAACAGCCCTCTTGAACCTCTGGATTGGATTTCTGATACTAGCCAACTTGCTGTCGCCCTCCTAGGCCCCAGAATGCAGTATAAGGTTCTTCATGTCTCTGTGCTCCTGTGCTGACCTGAGGGTAGCATAGACAAGGGCTCTGAGCGAGTGAACCAGCAGCTGACCTGATGAACTAACCAGACTCTCCCTGATTGCTGCGTCTCTGCCTCTGCCTCACAGACTTTAGCTCCTGAGAGTCAAGGCTGCTGTGCTTTGAGTAGATCCTGAGTAACTTCTTTTTTTTTTTTTGGGGGGGGTCCGGTCGTGGGGCCTGAACTCTGGGCCTGGGCACTGTCCCTCAGCTCTTCAGCTGAAGGCTAGCGCTCTACCACTTGAGCCACAGTGCCACTTCCGGCTTTTTTGTTTTTGCTTATGTGGTGCTGAGGAATCGAACCCAGGGCCTCAGGCATGCAAGGCAAGCGTTCTACCACTGAGCCACCTTCCCAGCCCCTGAGTAACTTCTTCTTGTACCCACTGAGTGAAATGCCAAGTCACAGGACTTTGAATAGCCTTGAAAGAATTAAGGATGGAAGCCGGGTGCTGGTGGCTCACGCCTGTAATCCTAGCTACTCAGGAGGCTGAGATCTGAGGATCGCGGTTCAAAGCCAGCCCGGGCAGGAGAGACCGTGAGACTCCTATCTCCAATTAACCACCAGAAAACCGGAAGTGGCGCTGTAGCTCAAGTAGTAGAGCGCTCGCCTTGAGCTGAAGAGCTGAGGGACAGCGCCCAGGCCCAGAGTTCAAGCCCCATGACCGACCAAAAAAAAAAAAAGAAAGAATTAAGGATGGATGTTTCTCCCTGGCAAGGTGAAGGCTGGCCCAGAAAAGTCTCAGCAGTACAGAAAAGCCATCATTGGCCCTAAGTGGCAGATGATTTGGTGGTTGACCTGGGACTGTTGCTGTGTTCTGGCTCCCAGTCCAGTTTCTTCCTAAAGCTGTTGCTCTTCATCTCCTGTAGCCATGTGCCCTGAGCTCCTCTCTGCCTTTCCTGAGAGCCAAGTAGGGGCCCCCTCTGGGGGGCTCCAGGGAGTATCTAAAGAAGATGGCTTGTCACTAAAGTCCTGTATGTCCCCACCCTGATTCCTGGCAGCCATGCCACTGGCAGCCACCTCCAGGGTGGTCCCACTGCAGGCCTTGTGGTACAGCCTGGTAACCAAGTGCCTACTCTGCCCTCAGGCCAAGTACCTGGCCCAGATCATTGTAATGGGTGTGCAGGTGGTGGGCAGAGCCTTCGCTCGGGCCCTGCGACAAGAATTTGCAGGTAAGTGTGGACCCCTACTCCCCCTGGGCCAGGAGCACCTGGCCAGGCCACATTTTTTTCCTAGCGGCCTTGCTGGTTATGAATGTGGGGATTGCTCTGTTGCTGGGGTTCTGCATGCTGGTGGCACTGTCCTGTCTAGTCCCAGGGGCAGTGGGAGACTTTAGGACAGTCCCATGTAAGGGAGCAAGGTCTGTCTCCAGTGAGGCTGAGTTTCCATGGGCACCCTGGCAGGAGGCAGCAATCTGACCCACCTGCTCACTTCTTTTCATAAGTAAAGTTTTATTGGCACATAGTCACAGCCTCTGGCTGCTTTTAAGGAGAACTAATTCTAACAAAAACTGGCTGAAGAGTTAAAAATCTTTTCTCTTTGACCTTTAAGGGAAAGTTTACTGGCTCCTGACTAGGCTCACTGAAAAGGAGCAGCCACCTGTGGCAGCCTGCCTTAGTGATCTGGGCAGCAGCAGCGTGTTCAGGTCCTGGCCGTTAGTGCTCCTATCCTGCCTGCTGTGTCTTTACTTTGGTCATCATAGTAACCTAAAGCTTCCCAAGTTGCCCCTGGGATGAGGATGAGGGTGGGGAAGGATCATCTGAGGCCTGGGTTGGAACCAGGAGCCAGGTTTGATGGTTATACCCTGCTCTTAGCATACTGTATGTATGTCCATCCTCTGCATCCCCACCCCCACCCCTCCCCAAGAGAAGCCAATCTTGGCCACCTTTGTTTCTGTATGTCTCCTCTGTGCCATCTTGCCGGGGTGAGCCATCCAGTTGGAAGGCTCAGAGGAGGCAATTCTGGGCTGCAGAAGGCTAAGCAATCACTCGTGTCCACACAGCCAGCCAGGCAGCAGCTGACGCCCGGGGACGTGCTGGGCACCAATCCGCAGCTGCATCCAACCTCTCTGGCCTCAGCCTCCAGGAGGCTCAGCAGATTCTCAACATCTCCAAGCTGAATCCCGAGGAGGTCCAGAAGGTGAGGCCACCAGACTGGCTCCTGGGGGGATGTGGGGGGAGGCTGGCAGAATGGGCAGGGCAGGTGCAGAGGCTCTGGCTGCAGCTAGCCACGCTCTGTGGGAGAAGCCACGCTGTTTGGGACATCTCCGGCCCCAGGCAGGCTGGCTGCAGACACCACAGCTGGCCATCGGAGCCCCCTCAGTGGTTGCAGAGCCTCCTGGGTTGCCCAGCATGGCTTATGGGTCTCAGGTTGAGGCCTTTAGCCTCCCTTCCTTCCTCACATCTGCTTGCCCATCGTCTTACCTTGAAACTGCAAGCTGCTCGTCATCTTCTCTTCCTGCAGAACTATGAACACCTATTTAAAGTGAACGATAAATCTGTGGGTGGCTCCTTCTACCTGCAGTCAAAGGTGAGTGCTCTGCCACAGACCTCTGTCCTGCCTCGCAGGGGCCCCTTGGTTCCAGGCAGGGCACCTAGCAGGTAGGCATTTGGCAGGCAAAGTTGTGCCAGAGTCTCCCCCTGGAGCCCCATCCTCAGTCAGTGTCCTCTCCCCAAGTCAAACTGCCACTCCCTCTGGCTGCCCAGGGGCGACGGGGCACAGGAGCACGTGGTGGTGGTGTGCTCCATCCAGATCCCAGAGCAGTGTCCCTATGCCCACTGTCCTCCAGGGAGGCACCCGAGCCTGGGACAGGAAGGGAGAGGCCTCATGCAGGCCAGGGGCAGAGAGCACAGGTTGTGCCCGCTAAATCTTCCTGCTCTCCTCAGGTTGTCCGGGCCAAGGAGCGTCTGGACGAGGAGCTCAGAATCCAGGCCCAGGAAGACAGAGAGAAAGGGACGACACCCAAAACGTGACTGCTCAGCCCCTCCCACCCCAGCCCACTCCTCATAATTTATAGCTTGGTAATAAATGTCTTTTCTGCATTTCCAGAAAGCGGGCTTGCCTTCTTTCCTGGTGGTGCTGGGACCGGGTGGCAGGAAGCTTTGGCAGCCTAGGGACAGACATGGGGGTGAGGTTCATATGTAGCCCTGGGCCACTGTGTGGCCAGCCCTTTCTCCTGTGTCCTGTCCTCTCCCAGCCAGGCCCAGACAGCGGGGGTGGCCTAGGGTCAGGTGGCCCAGCTCCTAGGATGTCCACCACACAGAAACCATCTTTACAACTCACTTTTATTGTTTCTTTATAAACTTCCTCTCACATGGAGGAATATATTGTTATAGTCATTAGCTTATCTCTTTTTTTAAAACTCTATGCTAACAGCAATGGAGCCAAGAGGAGGAAAACAAGCTACAATAGAAAGGCACTTAGAACCTGTTAAAATACTGACATCCGGAATGTGCAAGAACAAACTGACAACAACAAGTACACCGGCCCTTCCAAGCCTGGTCTATCACCAAGTCACATGCTGAGCTAATGTCACCGTCCAGTGCCCTGTTCCTCTGCTCCTGGCCTTGAGTCTCAAACCCCAAACCCCCCCAGCCAGGGACTTAAGGCCTGGGGCCCTAACAGGGTGGGGGCGGGGTTTCTGGGTCCTGGGTGAGGCGGAAGGAAGGAGACCAGCTCCCTCCCATCTTGCTCACAGCCCCTTCAAGGGGTAACTAGCCTGGGTCCTGAGCCTAGCTTCGGGGTGGGCCAGGTCAGGGTCAGGGTGACCCCTCTGGGACAGAAGGGCAGTCCAAGAAAGGGTAGGGTCAGCAGAGCTGCTTAGAGGAGGAGAGGGCTACCAAGGACCTCACACACACACACTTGGCTGCTCTTTTGTTCTACAAGTAGGGAAATGGGAGGACTTGGCCTCTCCACAGGCCAGGAACAAGACATCTGGAAGCTGCTGGTGGGAAGGAAGCAGTGAGTGGACTGTGGGGTAGGAGGTCCTCTGTGGGAGCCCAGCATCCCTGGATTGCACAGTGGGGGTGCAGACCACATGGGGCCCCAAGACGGGAACCACTAAAGGAAGCCACCCTGTCACAAGTCCTCCTCGGGCCTGCTCTTCTCAAGCTCAGGGCTTCCAGGCTACAGCCCCCAGAAAGCTCCTACCTCTAGGCCCTCCCTGCATGCTAATGTCGTCGTACCTGCAGGCCAAGAGCTGCCTCCCTGCCTAGGCTATCCCCAGCCAGCCTCCTACTCCTGGGCTGGACCAACGCTCTGAGAACTGCTACAAAACAGCACTGCCCAGGCCGGGCCCAGCAGGATGAGGCCAGAGCTCACCCCAGCCCCAGCTCCTGTTCCCTGAGCCCAGGCTGGCTGCAGCAGGGGCCTGGGTCACTTGGATATGTTGCCAGGGCTGCCTGACACCTCCCTTCCTTAGCACAGGAATCCCATGGGCCTGCGTCCCACGCTCCCAGGCGTGGTGCCCCTTCCAGCAATGGATGCGGGATGGGGACAGCTGGCGGAGCGGGCCTTCCTGCCCTAGAGAGCTGGAAGGCACCTTGTCGTAGGGGTGGGTGGAGAGAGCAGGCTTCTTCCCTGTGGCTCGGGAGGAGGGCCAGGGGGAACGGGTCTGGACAAGCCAAGGCAGGAAGTGAGGGAGGCACCAAGGTGGGGGGACAAGGACTGAGGTGGAGGACAGAAGCTATACGGCAGGGCCTGGAGTGAGGCCTGAGCACCTAAGAGCACAGCTCTCCTTGGACAGCAGGTCCAAGCCAAGCCCTCCCTCAGGAGCTGGAGCCAGCAATGACCTTCTAGCACCATCCTTGCTGCCCAGCCCTCCGGGGCTGTAGCTGCCCTGGGAGCACGGACACCCAGGCCCTGTGGCAGTAGGACATTATTGCTATTCGCAGAAGAGTTTCTGTTCGTCGGGGGACAGCGCCCGCGGCGGCCGGCGGGGCTGCTAGGCAGGCGGCTCAGTTCACCACGGCTGGTTTGAGCAGCACGGAGCCAGGTGGGATCACCACCCAGCCCGGAGTTAGTGCTTCGGGGCTGCTGGCTGCCGAGTTGACACCAGTGGACAGGTCCAGCACGGTGCCTGGCAGCAGGGGGAGTCCATCAGGGTTGGGCCGGGAGCGGCTGCTCTCCGTCCTGTCAAGGGGAGTCTTGCGGCCCTCCATGCCCAGAGCCCTGGAGGGCACTGACCCCCGCCCCTTCTCCCCCTCAGCCTTGCCGCCAGCGGAGCCGGCGAGGAGGGAGACCACAGGCAGGCCCAGTCCACCAGCCCCAAAGGGCGAGGGTAACAGTGGGTTCTTGGCCAGATTGAGGGGCAGGACGGGGCCTGGCAGCCCTGGACCCATGCTCCCCCCTGCTCCAACCCCCCCACCGTTGCCACAGGCCAGGGCACTGAGGTCGAGGGGGCCAGGGGGCAGGGGCAGGGGCAGGCCAGGCAGGCTGGGGCCTCCGAAGAGAGCAGCAGGGTTGGGGATGATGATCTGGGCCCCACTGACGTAGGGACCGCTGTCGGGGGTGGGCAGGGGTGGTTTGGGAGGTGGGCGCAGCTGCAGGAGCTCCTGCTGCTCCTGAGAAACGAAGTGGCCGTGGGCCTTGATGTGCTTGCGCAGCGAGCTGGGGTCTGTGTAGCGCTTGTGGCAGCCAGGCATCTTGCAGTAGTAGGGTTTGTCCACGTAGTGGGTGCGGGTGTGCTTGAAGCGGTCACTCGAGTTGGAATAGCGCTTGTTGCAGCCTTCGTAGGGGCAGACATAGGGCTTCTCACCTGTGGGAGTGAGGGTACCAGATCTGACTGTGCAGGTGGCAGGCAGAGCAACCCTATCAGGCCCCAGTCCACTGAGGTCCTGCTGTGTGTCCTTGGGTTCCCCCACCACAGACACGAAAGCTGACAGGCTGAAGGGGAGCACCTGGCCCACGGCAAGTGCTGACTTGCTAACTATGCTTTGTTTTGTTTTGTTTTTTGCCTTACTCAAAGATGAGTTTTTACCAAGGGCTGTTTTGAGGACTGAAACTCTCTCACCAAAACTTCGTAAGTAGCTAAGATTATAGCCAAGTACCATTGCATCCAGCTGTGTATTCATATGGGGTCTTAGAACTGTGGTCCTCTTGATTTCTGCCTCCCACTTAGCTACATTAGCGGCATGAGCCACCACTGTTAGCCTTCTTTAGTTCTTTGTTTTGGTGGGGGAGAACAGGAGGGTCTTTTGTGGGGCTTGAACTCAGGGTTTGGACGCTGTCTCTGAGCTTTTTATGCTCAAAGCTTAGCACTCTACCATTAAGGCACAGCACCATGTCTGGTTTTCTGGCAGTTAACTGGAGATAAGGGGGTCTCGTGGGCTTTCCTGCCCGGGCTGGCTTTGAACCATGATCCTCAGATCTCAGCCTCCTGAGTAGCCAGGATGACAGGCATGAGCCACCAGTACCCGGTCTGTGCCAGGAGGCCAGAACTGGCTCTCCTGTGGGTTCTGGGTGCCGTGAGGAATAAAGCAGCCCCATCTCTGCCGTCCCGTAGGTGTCACCAGGCAGGTGGTACAGGTGGGATCACTCACCAGTGTGGGACCGGTTGTGGATCTTCAGGTTCTCCAGGCGGGAGAAGCTCTTGTTGCAGGTGGGGCAGCGGTGCGGCTTCTCGTTGGTGTGCGTGCGGATGTGGATGAGCATCTTGTACCTGCTCGGAGGGGAGGGAGGCACTCAGCCCACTGCAGCCCCAGCCCTGCCCTCCCGCCCTCGCCCGCGCCCTCACCTGGCATTGAAGCCCCGGCCGTGGCGGGCGCAGCCCTCCCAGTGGCAGCAATACCCTGCATCCTTCTCCGGCTTGACGTGGTAGTCGTTGACGTGGTCCACCAGGTCTTGCAGGAGCTCAAAGAGCTGGTTACACTGTAGGGGGCCAGGTATGGTTCTCAGCCCACATGGGGCCGTGGCCCCCGGCCACACGGCCGTCCTAGACACCCCCTTCCCCACTCACCTTGGCCCAGCGACACACCAGCTGCTTGGGCAGGGGCAGCTCTGGCGAGAGGCACTTGTCCTTGGTGGGGGTGAGGAAGGAGGACGTGGGCAGGTGCAGGGCTCCCCCAGAGCCCAGGGGCAGAAAGAACTGAAAGGAGCTGGGGACGCCATCCAAGTAGCGCAGGGGCTGGAAGTCCTGTAGGGTGAGTTATGAGGAAAGCTAGTCCGTGTCCCAACTGGGGGCCTCAGGCAGGCCCAGCTCCACACCCCGCCCCCTGGGGGTAGGCTGAATGGAGCCCCCTCAAATGCTCAGGTCCTAATTCTTGGTGCCTGTGGTGTGTGACTTTGTTTATAGACAGGGTCTTTGTGGACAGGAGTTAGTTAAGAGGAGGTCCTGCTGGATTAAGGCAGTCTTAAGACCAATGGCCAGTGTCTTGTATGAGGAGGTCAAGGAAGGTTTGGACAGATGCACGCAGATGGAGGGTGAAGACACAGGCGAGGTTGGAGGGGTCCAACACCAGACTAGCACTCGAGCTTTGAGCCTCCAGAAGCAGAGGGAGGAAGGGGTCTCCCCTGGAGCCTCTGCGGGAACCCAGCCCTGCCAACACCTCCAGACTTTAGATTCCAAAAGTGAGAGAAGGCCAAGTTTCTGGTAGTTTTGTTTTTGAGGTGTGTGTGTGCTGAGGCTTGAACTCAGGGCCTCAAGCTCTTGCTCAGCGTTATCCCTCCATGGCTGAATCCCACACCACTTGAGCCAGTCCTCTAGTTTCAGCTTTTTGCTGGCTAACTGGAGATAAGAGTCTTGAGAATGTGTCTATCTGGACTGGCTTCAAACTAAGATCCTCAGCTCTCAGCCTCCTGAGTAGCCACTGGCAGCTTGAAAATGTCTGTTATTTTAAGTCACCCAGAGAAGCCCACTGCACCTTCTTGCCTGGAATCCTCACCCCTCCTTACCGGGGCTGTGGGCATAGGAGGCAGGTCCCCATTGCCCTGGCGCTCAGGGGACAGGGAGCTGCTGCCATTGGGGGAGTCCAGGCCAGACGGAGGGGACAAGCTGAGGTCCACCAGAGGGGCTGCAGAAAAGCGTCCGTCTACCTTCTCAGGGAACTTGGGGTTCAGCAGGAAGCCTAAGAGAGAGGCACAATTGGAGGGGTGGGGCAGAAGCCAGGCGTCCCAGTGGGCCAGGTCCTAGCGGCTCTGGATCCCCACTGGGACCCCCAGCCACAGGTTTCAGGGAGCAGCTGCTACGGCTGACAAGGTGATGGCATCACCCATTTTGTCTAATCTTCCGCAGTGAGCTCTGCCACTGCGCAAGACAGGAAGTGGGTAGCACCGTCTTCTGGACAGGGCTGGTCTGGCACAGTGGGTAGTGGAGACCAGAAACCTGAACACAGGCCCCTGGCTGGCTGTCAGACTGGCAGGAGTCCCTTCGCACTCTCCCCAGCTCTGCCTACCTCAGAGCTCCCCTCTGTAGACAAGAGGGGCTGGGCTGGGCTGGGCTGCCTTCACAGCCAAATGGCACATCTGGTTTTCAGGATCCACTTGGAGGCAAAAGATGGAGTGTTTGCCACGCCAGGTCTGAGCACCAAGACCTTTTGAGATGCACTTGCTCAGTCTGGTCCCCAAAATTCTCGCACCCAAGCTGACCAGCAGCCCAACCTCAAAGCCCACGCCCCTTTCCACGTCCTGCCGGAGGTCAACTAGAGCCTTCCGGTCTGAGCACCCTGCCCTGCCCAGTGCCATACCTGAGGTGGGGGAGCCCGGGGAGCCCGGCGTGGGGCTGTCATCTACCAGCCCCAGCTCCCTGTGCAGTGCCCGCTGCCGGGCCGCACCCAGTGTCCTCTCCCGCTTCTCTCTCGCCGCTCGGAGCTTGGTGATGCTCAGCTTCAGGTCGAGCGGCTCGTCCAAGGAGTGCATGGCGGTGGGGGGGTGGTGAGGGAGGAGGCAGCAGGCAGAAGGGTGCCCAGTGGGTCTTCAGGCAGGAACCTGCGGAAGGACGGGAGCTGTGCTGGAAGAGTGGGACCCCAGGCAGGCTGTACCGGCAAGAAGCAAGGAAGATGTGGCTGGTGGCTCATGCCTGTAATCCTAGCTATTTAGGAGACAGATCCGAGGATCGAGGTTCAAGGACAGCCTCCAATTAATTATCAAAAAGCACTAGGCAGCAGTGGCTCATTCCCGTCATCCTAGCTACTTAGGAGACTAAGATCTGAGGATCGCAGTTCAAAGCCCGCCCGGGCAGGAAGTCCATACGACTCTTATCTCCAATTAACCACCAGAAATATGGAAGTGGTGCTGAGGCTCCCGTGGTCGAGTTCTCACTTTGAGCTGAAGGGCTGAGGGACAGCACCCAGGCCCAGAGTTCAAACCTCAAGAACAACAACAACAAAAAAAGCTGGAGGCATTTGGGTTCCTTTGCATGAAACTGAGTGGGGAATTTTGTTTCTTGAAACCAAGTCTTCTTATGGAGCCCAGACTAACCTCAAGCTTACAATCCTCCTGCCTCAACTCCCCAGTGCTGGGATTATAGACATGCGCCACCACACCTAGTTGAGACTTGAGTTTTGGCGAGCTTGGATGCGGCCAGCGTGACTCAAGGGTAGTTCTCTTCTCAGGAGATGGCTAGCCAAGTCCTGGTAGTCAGCTCTGGTAGGGCTGGCAGCCATGCCTGGGAAGCCTGTCAGCCTGAGTCAGAAGATGCAGAAGCATGCCAGGGGACCAACAAACGTCCTCCAAGGCAGTGGTTGCTCCTCGGCGACCCACTGCCGGTACCCACTGCGCCCCGCTCTCATCTCTTCCCAGCAGGCCTCCACAGCACCAAGGGAAGAACCAGGCGGACAGCTTGAGCCAGGGAAGCCACGCAAGGCTTGGCCATGACTGCACACTCCACCTTTCACGTGAGGCAGAAGAGAGACATCCACACAGGGCCAGGAGAGACGCAGAGCTCCCGGCTGCCACCAGGGGGCAGCTGGGGACTGTAGTCAGGCGAGACAGGGCAGGGTTGGCAGAGTACAGGAGCTCAGTCATCTGTAACTTTTTTTTTCTCTCTTAAATCGGGCACAGGTGGCTCACACCTGTAATCCCAGCTATTCAGGAGACTGAGGAGCTGAGGATTGAAGCCAACCTGGGCAGGAAAAGTCTGTGAGACTCTTATCTCTAATTAACTACCAAAGAGCCAGAAGTGTTTATCACACTGGTGATGATGCTCTCAAGGGTTTCATTCTGTAACTTTCAGCCTTCTAGAATATCTCACTGGCAGCCAGGCGCTGGTGGCTCACGCCTGTAATCCTAGCTACTCAGGAGGCTGAGATCTGAGGATCGCGGTTCAAAGCCAGCCCGGGCAGGAAAGACCGTGAGACTCCTATCTCCAATAAACCACCAGAAAACCGGAAGTGGTGCTGTAGCTCAAGTGGTAGAGCGCTCGCCTTGAGCTGAAGGGCTGAGGGACAGCACCCAGGCCCAGAGTTCAAGCCCCACGACCGACCAAAAAAAAAAAAAATCTCACTGGCATAGTTTTCTTCACATATAATTAGGTTCACTGACCCAGGAACATCAGCTCTTCCTCCCAAGTTCCGCTTCCCCCACGCACAAGAAGGCACCCTCCCACCCCATGCTACACCTGGCCTTCACACTCTGCCTGCTAACCAGGCCGCACCATGCCACTCTCTGCATTTAAGGGGCGGATGCAGTGGGCATACCCACTGTCTAGAAAATACTTGGGACATTTCACCATGTGCATCCTTAGAGGCTGGTGTGGCCTGCACGAACCTGGAGCTTCCCAAACCCTCCCACTGGACAGAGAGGGGCCGAGGGTAACCTCTACTTCCTTGCTCATCCCTTCTCTAAGGCCAAGAACCCTGGCAGACTTACTCCACCCCCATCTCTGCCCAACCCTGCTCATCATCCCCCCATGTCTCCCACAAGCTCCAAGCTTCTCTCCAAAGCACACAGAAAACGAGATGGTCCCTTCCCTGCCTTGAGACACTGGCCGCTTGTGGGGACCCACGGCAGGCCCCACCGCATGGGCTGCAGAGAGTCAGGGCACAAGGAGGCTGCGGGCACCTGCTCTTGGCCGGGGACGCAGGGCCAGGACTTTCCCTGTTGGAGCCATTACGTGTGTGTGTGTGGATGTGTTTTCTCAAGCCAAGCCTGGACCAGAGGCTCCCAGGAACGCAAAGCAGATGGGGACCGGAGTGCCAGCAGCTGCCCCACCCCTCAGAAACTCAAGACCCTGGCTGGCAGGTGAGTCCTGGGTCTGTTCCTATACTCCTGAGCCATGAGTTGCCCTCTACCTGACCCTCTACCCCCAGTTATGTCTGTCTGTCTGTGTGTCTGCCTGTCCTTCCACCTGTTTATTTTTAGACACAGATCCAGTCTAACCTCCCCGAAGCTCTACTGTGCTGGGAGCCATGAGGGGGGAGGAAGGAAGTAAATATTTATGCTGATTAAGAATTCAGGAGCCAGGAAGGGCTGGTGGCCTGGTCCCTCTGCTGGCCCTCCCCCCCACGGCGTCTCCCCCCCCACCTTCTAGAGAAAGGGGATCACAGGGCAGGATGCTGCTTCTCACTGGCACCCTTGGCACCTGCCCTACTGTCCCATCCTGTCCCTCCCACACCCCACAGGGAGCCAGGGCAGAGTCACAGAGCCAGGGCACCTGAGGTGGCGGACGCTGGCCCCAGGAGAAGCCCATCTCTCTGGGTGCAGCTAGACACCAAAGCAGGAGGGGGACTCCAGTGCCCCCCCCATCAACAGGCCCAGTCCTCAGGGACTCCACCCCACCCCCAACTTCCTGCCACTGGATTCTGCCCAGGGAGGCAGGGGTTCATGGACATAGAGGGCCAGGCATGGGGAGGAGGAGGAAGGAGCCGCCCCAAGCCCACACCTCCCAGCATCCCCCTGCCTAGGTTTCCTCTGAAGTTGGTCCCCCAGGGAAATGGCCTATAACCCCACTCATGGTCTGACCTTGGCCAACCTCTAAGTGGCCCTTCCCTGCCCCCCTCCCCGGCCGGCAGCAGCCAGTCTGCGCTTGGCTCTGCCTCTTTGTTCCTGGCTGGTGAAGAGGACAGGCTAGACCCAAGTTCCTGCTCTCCTAAAAGCTGGGGCCCAGCCCTCGCACCCCAGGTTTAATGCTGGAGGGAGTGAGCTCCCTCCTGCCATGCCCACCCTGAGGCCCCCTGGGTGAGATCTGGCCCCAGTGTACCTACTGTCCCTCAGAACTGGGCTGTCACAGAGGCAGGTGCTCCTGGGGCGGGGGGGCGGGGGGGGCTCTCTGCTTCATTCTCCCTTCTGGGGACGGCAGTATCTCTGTAGCTGCGATCTCTGACCGAATGCTACGTCTGGGAGTAGTGTTCACCCCAGGCCACTGGAGGTGCTCGCCACACCCACCCACGAGGGCAGCAGGGAGGCCACACCACCGTGGCGAGCTGCCCCAGACCTGCACAGCTCCCCGTGCTGCAAAAGGAACTAATTAAAGGAGAGGAGCGGAGGAAGCAGGGAGGGAGGAAGCGCGCGGGGGTGGCGGGGGACCACCGGGGACGGAGGGGAGGGGGCGAAGGCCCTCCCCCACCCCACCCCAGGGCGGGGGTCACCCAGAGGGTGGGCTGCCCTCCCCTGCGTACCCCCTCTACGGGGCCGAAACAATGGCTGCCATTGTGCGCCCCTGGCCTTCCTGCACAGAGGCCCCCAGCTGCAGCGGAGAGGCAGGGGGAGGGCGCCCGGCCCAAGGCCCACCAGCCATTCCCCAGGGCGCGTCTGGGAAGAAGCCCTCCATCTCTACCCAATGCCCAATGGGGAAACTGAGGCTGGAGGTCACTAAGCAAACAGGAGCAGCTAGAATCCTGGGGAGGGGGGGCAGCAGACTGGCCCTGAGCCTGGGGGAGGGAAAGGGGGGCAGAACAGCGGGGTGTCTACACTGGCAGACAGAGGACAGGGGCCTTTGAAAAATGGGGTTGCATCCCTAGCCACCCCACAGCAGTCTGGGGCCTGGTGAGTGGCTGCTATGGACCAGTGTTGGGCAAGGGCAACACGAGGCTCCCCCCCAGATTCCTGGGATAGTCCCGAAACTGCCCCTTTGGTTAGCTGTGTCTGGTACTGCCTGGGACTTGGGGTTAAAACCTGCAGACACACAGCTCACAAGTGCATGTACCTGTTAGCTGGGCCTTCTCTGTGCGCGCCACGGACTGTGCACACTCTGCTCTCACAGAGGGGGAACTGAGGGCCAAAGAGGAAGGCACCTGCCCCAGGCTACAGGAGTAGATGAGTCGCAAGTCGTGGGTACAGGCAGGATGACAGTGCCCACTGTCGACTGCTGACAGTCCAAGGACATGCCAGCCAGCACCTGCTAGGGCAGGGGCTGTTTCATTCCCATTTTACAGATGGAGAAGCTGAGGTTCAGGGGAATTCAGTGACTCACTCAAGGTCATGGGGCTTTGTCCATGGCAGAGCCCGGTTTCTTAGCAGCTCCTGTGCCCTTAGACATGGGGGAAGGCAGACAGGGAGCTTAGGCTAGGCAGCCCCTCCCTAGAGGGGCTAGAGGCGGAGCCCTGAAGAGGCGGGACAGGCAGTGGGTGGGCTGGAGGGGCTGGACGGGGTGGAGGGCAGGAGGGGGGGTACCAGGAAGTTTGGAGAGCTGAAGGCACAGCCCTTGCCAAAGAAAACGGCCTACAGCCCTGCATTCCTGGGAACCAGCTGAGGCTCCCTGCTCAGCCCAAGAGCTCCACCCTCCTTGGCCGCCTAGCATGGGGGGCTGCAGGACAGGGGGGCAGGGCCTCTGGCCAGCCCCCCTTTCCTGACCAGGGAGCAGTGCAGGGCTCCAGATGCAGGTCAGACCACCACTTGAGCCCCCAACCCTGCTCTGTGGCTTTCTGCCCACGCCGCCTGAGCCCCTCATGTAGAGTGGCAAAGTAAGGGGACCCTGAATGGAGCTTTGAGGAAAAACCATGTGCTTGCTGCACATCAACCATTACTTAAGTGTTTCCCATGGGGGTGTG